TTATAAGACACAGGTCCTGTACATTGAACAATTTGACCTGGTATCCATTTTTCCTTTCTCCCATAGTTTCTTAGATACACATTATCATTAACTGCAAATTCTCTTTCAATGGATGATTTGTCATGATTTACTTTTTGTGTATGTTGATGTTGGGATACAGACCTTTGAACAGTTGGATGTAGTAGGTCAAGATGAGTTTTAATTTTCCTACCACATAGCAATTCACATGGTGCAACACCTGTTGTTATATGAGGAGTTGTGCGGTATTTGGTTAAGAACCTGTTTACTCTTTCTCTAAGAGAAAACTTGTTACCGGTATTCATTTTTACCATAGCGGTTTTGAATATGCCTACCGCTCTTTCAGCTAAACCATTCCCAGCAGGATGATAGGGGGATGTGGTTATATGCTCAATACCATTTGCCACACAAAACAGTTTAAACTCATGAGCTGTGAAACTAGGCCCATTATCTGAAACAATTTGATCTGGTAATCCATGAGTTGAAAATATTTCCTTAAGTTCTATAATGGTATCATTTGCAGTGATTGTGTTCATGATTTTAACTTCTAACCATTTAGAATGTGAATCAATAACAATTAAGAACATTTTGTTCATGAAAGGTCCTGCGAAATCTATATGTATACGTTTCCATGGTTCGATTGGCCAGTCCCAGTTTTGCAAAGGTGCTGTAGCTGGTTGATTTGAATGTTGTGCACAGCTTGAACAAAGTTTTACATATTTTTCAATATCAGCATCCATATGTGGCCACCAGAACCATGATCTTGCTAGACTCTTCATTTTGGAAGAACCAAGATGAGTATCATGTAAAGTTCTTAAAACTTCTTTTTGTAACATTTTGGGGATAATTACTCTTGACCCCCATAGTATACATCCATCTTCTAGACTTAACTCTGTTTTTCTTATTTTATATGGCTTTAAGTCCTCATTCACTGACTCTTCAGGCCAACCATTCTTACAGTACTCATATACTTTTATTAAGCACTCATCTTTTTGTGTTTCTCTCTTAATATCATTCACATTTATATTGGAGTTATCCATGATAGTGAAGAGAACAAATACATCTTCTGGTACATAGCTCAGGCTTTGGTTTTTTAAAGGTAATCTACTAAGACTATCTGCACTATTCTCAGATCCAGGTTTGTATTTCAATTCATAATTGTATGCAGTTAGTGTGATAGCCCATCTTTGAATTCTTGGTGAGGCATGCTCAGGTAGGGTTTTGTTTTCTCCAAATAAACCTAGCAATGGTTTATGATCTGTAATGATGGTGAACTTCCTACCAAACAGAAACTTATGAAATTTCTTAACACCAAAAATGATGCCTAAGCCTTCCCTATCTAACTGAGAATAATTTTTCTCAGCCTGGTTCAAAGATCTACTGGCAAAAGCAATGGGTCTGTCACCCTTCTCATCCATGTGGGACAAGACTGCTCCTACACCATCTGGTGAAGCATCACATGTCAATACAAGTCTTTTCCCTGGGTCATAGTGAGTTAGTAAGGTGTCAGAAGACAAAGCCTCTTTTGCTGTATTAAAAGCAGCTTCTTGTTGTTTACCCCAGTGCCAAGTTGCATTTTTCTGTAGCAGCTTGTACAGTGGTGATAGTTTACCAGACAGATTTCCTATGAACTTTGCATAGTAATTTATCAAGCCCAAAAAAGCTCTTAGTTGTTGGGTATTTTCAGGTTTGGGTGCTTCTTTAATGGCTTTTGTTTTCTCAGGTTGAGGTCTGATGCCTTGTTTGCTTAATATATAACCAAGAAAACTAATTTCTGTCAGCATGAATTGACATTTATCTTTGTTTATCTTTAAACCTTTTTCACCAACAATTTTTAATACTTTATCAAGTGTTTTAAGATGTTCAGTGTCATTCTTACCAGTTATGTACACATTGTCAAAGTACACACAAACATTTGGAATATCCTTAAAAATACTGTCCATGACAGCTTGGAAAATTCCAGGGCTAGATGATATGCCAAAACATAGTCTTTCATATTGGTAGAGTCCTTTATGTGTGTTTATTGTCGTATAGACTTTTGAATCTGGATGCAGTTCTAGTTGAGTGTAAGCATGACTAAAGTCTAATTCAGTGAATTTGTCTCCTCCTGCCAAATTCAAAGAGATTTCCTCAATGTTAGGTATAGGGTACCTATTTAGCTCTATTTGCTTATTCAGTGTAGTTTTATAATCTCCACAAATTCTTATAGAACCATCCTTCTTTAACACTGGCACAATGGGCGTTGCCCAATCGGAATAGTCTACCTTCTTTATGATGCCATTAGATTCCAATCTACTTAGCTCATTTTCAATTTTATTCCTCATTGCATAAGGTGGAACTCTAGCTTTGCAGTATCTTGGATTTGTGTCTTTAATGCTTAACTTCACTGTTCTATCATTTAGTAATCCAGAGTTACCAAAAACACATTTATTTTCAGATATTACTTTATCTAGTGAAGTAAGACTAGATTCTTTTACATTCTTCAATGAACAAATACTCTCCCAATTTAACTTAAGATCACTTAACCAGTTCCTACCTAGTAATGGCGGTCCATTTCCTTCAACCACAAGAAGAGGAAGTTTAACACTTTGACCATTATAACTTACATGAACCATACACTCTCCTATTACCGGAACATTGTCACCAGTGTATGTCGTTAGGCACTTGTGACATGGCTGTAGAGGCACTGATCCTCCAGTGATAGCGTCAAAATCATTCTTTGTTATAACTGTTAGAGATGCTCCAGTGTCAAGTTGGAAGCTGATGCTCTTACCGTTGATATTAACTTGTACATTGATGGGAGCATGACTTATTGATTTAACAGAGAACAGGCTGAAATCCGGTTGCGAATCAGTTTGAGCATTTTTACAGGTAGAGTGGTTCATTGGTTGGGTTAGGTAGTCTTGGTGAGAGTTAACATAGTGCTGCCTTTGGTTGCGGTACTGTCTTGACTGGCTAGATTTAGCAACAGACGAAGACTTTGCAAAGCAGGCCTTAGCAATGTGACCTTGCTCACTGCACTTATAACAAGTTGCAGACTTGAACTTGCACCGATGAGATGCATGGGGACCTTTGCATCGATGACATTTTTGATAATTATTACTAGATTTAGATCTAGGATTTGAACGAGCAGGCTGTTTAGCATAAGTTGGAATGCTCTGATGGGGTATATGTTTATTGACTAACCTGCTGTTTACTGCATGGATCTCTGAAGGTGCTAAAGATCTCGCCGCATCAGATGACTGCTGGTATGAAGTTGCAAGTTGTATTGCTTTTTCTAATGTTAGATCTGACTCGAGCAGCAACTTTCTTTGAATATCAGGGCTGTTTACACCTGTCACAAACTTTTCACATAGTCTGTCAGACAGCGTGTCTCCGAATTCACAAAATTCACTTAAATGACGTAAAGCAGCAACATATTCTGGTATTGACTCGTTTGGTTGACGAGTCCTACTGTCAAATCTAGCTCTACATAGAAACTTTGATGGGGTAGGCGCATGGTGGTCTGTTAGCAATTTGCTCAGCTCGTTAAAGCTCTTGGTATTTAGACTAGCTGGAGCGCATAAGTCCTTTAGTAGCCTAAATTGTTGAGGCCCTATGACTGTTAACAAAACAGCTCTCTTTTTGGCTTCTATCGTCACGTTGTTAGCTTCTAGGTAAAAGCTTAACCTCTCTAGGTAATCTTGAATGATTTCATCATTCGCATCAAATTGTTTTATTTGGCCATACAGCGCCATAATTCTAGAAATAATTAGCTAATAAGCTCTAGCAAACCTCTTTTTTGCGTAAATAGGTGCTCTTTCTAGTAGATGTTTATCCTCGTCGCCAGTTGAGGTAGATTATGAATACAACGGAGACAGAAGCCATGAGTATGTAAACAGCTTTTATTGTTAACCGGCAAGACCGGAAGTGACGAGAGACACAAGTAAGGGACATCACTCAAGATAACAATATAAATATAATACCAATACAATTATCTCAATCTATTACAGTTTTGGCAGTAAATTTTACAACTTTTCGATTGTTTGTCCACCCCCATCCCTCCTACACAAATTTTGACGCTGCTAGTTGGACTAAACTAGGCTTGAAAAAAAAAAACGATTTGAAAAAGGTTTAGATAGATTCTAGTAACGATAATCACGTCGTAATTTTATTCGAGTTACTTCCCATCGCCAGGGCTGACAACTCCTGCATCTTGGGCGAGCATTTGTTTATTGCCACTGTGACTATCTTGTAAAAACTTTTCGAAACTAATTTTAAAAACGGATACACTTGACCTCGACCCAACAACAATTTAGACTTGCTGTTTTATAAAGTAAAAATTGCAGTTTAGGGAGGGGGGGGGGGTTTATGTTGAAGTGTGACGTCACAGGCCGGCCTGTCCTTTTGTGGCGGTGTGTGACGATGTCTAATATGTCTAAAGTCATTTATGGACGACCATTTCTGTTTTATACACAAAAAAAATAAACAGACCCATCTTTTTAATGCCCCTCTTTGAACCCATCTCTTGTGATTCTCGCGAAACGCCAGCGTAGTCGCCCCTGTTTAACACCTACTTTGTCACAGTCATTAAACTTAATTAGGACTAATTCATGAGCAGACCTCCAACTAATTTAACGACCATAAACTTCCTTCTCATGTATTGTTCCATATACCTAACCACATACCTAACCACATACCTAACCACTTACCTATCCACTCACTTAACCCCTAAGCCTCTAAGCCAAACAAAACATAAACACACTAATCGATAACATTGGGAATAAGCGATAAGCTAGACGACGAACTACGGCTGCAAATATTTACCTGTAATGGAAAACTACCAAAACATCTTTATCTGGAGCAATTTTTTCCTGTCCTAGCGTCTAGTGATATTTGCATATTTGCAACAGTTCACGTGCCCCAACTAGCAGCAGTAGCGTGATTTGGTGCTACTGGGGGCGTGAACGGTTTTAACATATTTCATTGGTTGACACGGAGAGTTTTAAGCCAATGAAATATTGGCATTCTGAAGGTGTGTTGCTTGCGAAGTCGTATTGGTGACATTTTCTGACCTACTGTTGCAGCAATGGTAGGGGATTTTGATTCTACATTGCTATTTGGTTTGGTTTAAAACACGTTAGATTTTGTTTGCTAATTGCTTGCAATATATTGTATTTTTTGCTTTTCAGACTAGTTATACAGACAAAGGGCCTAAGGTGAGTGCTAAATCATTTTTTACCTGCACATTTTGTTTCATAATTCGGTTATTCACATCAGTTTTAGGTCACACTACGACCTTGACGTCCTACTGTTTTAGCCTAGCTAGGTACACAACAATGCTACCGTCTCTCTTGTATAGAAATAATCGCTCAAATTGGTCAAATACCGCCATTTGCTAGCTTCGTATGATCTATATGTGTTTGACATATCTAGATCAATATAAAACTGCAAGATTTGTTCAACTCTGTCCACACTACCACTGGACAGGTATCAGCCGAGTTACCTTGACCTATATTTATTTTAAAAATACAATTCTTGCCACGTTATCAACAGGCCTACTTTTGTCGGCCAAACATCTATTATAAATTACAACAAGACGACGTCCTTCTCTAGAACAATGTTTATTTATCAAGCGTTTAGACGCCCTTGTTAAATAAACAATAGGCCAAGATAACAAATATAAATGTGTTTAACGGCTTGGGCCGATCAGTGGTTGGGGTGTTACATCACCCCGACACACCCCCTTTGTGTTTACAAACAATAGACTATATATGAATATCAACCACCTTACAAAAAGTCTAAAACACCTAGATTTTACTTGGCATTCGAAAGTTGGTTATTTGACTTAAAATAATACAAATTTGAATCCCTTATCAATTTAGCCTAACTATTCTAGAATAATACAGGAAAACACCTGTTTAAAAATAATTAAGGAACGCAAAATAAAGACAAATTAAACTAAAATAAATTTATTAAATAATGCACGTCTGCCATAAAAAAATGCAATAAAAAAACTCAAAGAAAAACCGCAAAAAATAACCAACAAAAAAAAACAAAAAACCAACAACCACATTTTAAAAAACTTAATTCAACTAAAAAAAAAACAACACATAACGACTGCATCATGTCAAGAAGGACTTCTCAGAGTCGACTTGGCTTTGATGGTTTCCTGTCTAATAGTGAAGTTTAAGGCAGCTGGACGTAGAACTGACCACAGAAACAGGCGAACACTACTTCATCTGCCATGTGCGCCTTAGAATCCGTAATTTCGACTTTGCTTGTCTTAATTGTTTGGGACTCTCGCTATTCGTCTTACTTTATTTTATTATTTAAATTAGATCAAAACAATGACAGAAAACAGGAGTTTTACGGTATGACGTTAATTGAACTGAAGTTGTTTGTTATTTTAGCCAGAGGCGGGCAGGTTCATCACCTTTGACCACATCACATTTTGGGTTGGAAATGCCAAACAGGTAGGTAGAAATGATTTTTAAAAAAAAGAATTTTCTGTATTGGTGTGGTTGTTCTTTGTAAATAAGGAGATGGGGAGGGGAGTAGAAATGTGTGTTTGATCACCTGATGATTCTAGCTTCATGTGTTTACACATTGGTTTCAATTGGTTTGTGCTGGTTCACACACTGACCGTTGCCCTGAACTTAAAGTAGTTGACTGGACTTTTACCTTATAGCTTAGCAATCTTTGTTTACTGTTGGTTGCTTCTGCAGGCAGCTTCCCACTACTGCACAAGGCTGGGGTTTGAACCCTTCATGTACAAGGGGCTGGAGACGGGGAGCAGAGAGGTTGCTTCCCATGTCGTCAAACAGAACAAGGTAATCAAAATTAATTAATTAACTCAACACATTATTTATATTACAGTTTGTTTGATGTTTAAATAAGATTGTACTTTGTCTAAATATACAACATAAGTAATAAGATGATTATAATTTTTGATAAAAAAGAAAATTTCTTCAAATTTCAGATCCTATTTGTATTCCAGTCAATGCTAGAACCCAACAAGCCAGCAGGTAAGTTCTTTTGTACAGGTGTTGTTACATACCTTGCTAGAACCCAACAAGCCAGCAGGTAAGTTCTTTAGTTCACGTATTTTATACCTTGATAGAACGCAACAAGCCAGCAGGTAAGTTCTGCAGGTGTTCCTAATACCTTGATCAATTTTTTTGGTAACGCTATGATAGCCATCTAATGTGTGCCCACAGTGACCAGAAAGCTTTGAGCCCCCACTCAATAAGTGACAAAAGTTGTGCCAAGTTTTTATCTTGTAGTTTTCACTTGTAGCCTTTTATTAATTGTAAAAAAAAAATAATTCCAGATATGGGACATCACCTGGTGAGACACGGAGATGGCGTTAAAGATGTCGCGTTTGAGGTGGAGGATTTAGACGCCATTGTCAAGGTGTGGTGTTATCCCAGTTTTAATTAGATATAATCTCATTAGCCAGAAGTTTAAAAATATTAAGCCTTAATTAAATAGAATAGCTATTACAGAAAAGTTTCTCGTTGCTATGTGGAGAAGCTACTCTATGATAAATGTAGCTGTGTCAGATTTATGTCAGGGCTTGCAGTGAGAGTTTATTTTAATTAATAATTAAATTAATTTAACCTGGTAGAAGCAACCAATACATTACCTCCTACAGTTGCGTTGTTTCTATCCTGTGTAACAGAAAGCAAAGTCCAGAGGAGCTGTTGTGGTGAGGGATGTCTGGGAGGAATCTGACCAGTACGGGAAAGTCAGGATGGCCACCGTCCAGACCTATGGGGACACAACTCACACGCTGATTGACAGGTCCAACTACAAAGGTCCATTCTTGCCTGGCTATAAGGAAACCACGGTCACGGATCCTCTCTCTAAACTGCTGTAAGTCTGACTTTAAAGTTTCCTGGTAGTGTGTACCACGGTCAAGGATCCCCTCTCTAAACTGCTGTAAGTCTGACTTTAAAGTTTCCTGGTAGTGTGTGCTACGGTCAAGGATCCCCTCTCTAAACTGCTGTAAGTCTGACTTTAAAGTTTCCTGGTAGTGTGTGCTACGGTCAAGGATCCCCTCTCTAAACTGCTGTAAGTCTGACTTTAAAGTTTCCTGGTAGTGTGTGCTACGGTCAAGGATCCCCTCTCTAAACTGCTGTAAGTCTGACTTTAAAGTTTCCTGGTAGTGTGTACCACGGTCAAGGATCCCCTCTCTAAACTGCTGTAAGTCTGACTTTAAAGTTTCCTGGTAGTGTGTGCTACGGTCAAGGATCCCCTCTCTAAACTGCTGTAAGTCTGACTTTAAAGTTTCCTGGTAGTGTGTGCTACGGTCAAGGATCCCCTCTCTAAACTGCTGTAAGTCTGACTTCCAAGGTTCCTGGTAGTGTGTGCCTAAAGACAGGAACTCTTGGGTTTAGAATTCAGTTATCCAGAGGAAAAGATAAAAATAACTGATTATGGCTATTCATGACATAAAGCTGCTTGCTATCTCTTAGCAGTAAATTAGTTCCAGCACCAAAAATAATTGAAGTTCATTAGTTGTCTCTTGAAAGCTACAATAATTATTTCTTTAAGTCTGGAATTAAATCCTCCTGGGGTACTTGGTTGTATCAACATCATTATACACTCAATATGGGAAGCAATAAGGTCTAATTATTCATTACCTGGTTCATTATGTTTTACCTGAATCATTAGATGAGAGAGCCAATAATTTACCTGGATCATTAGATGGGCAAATTGATGTTTTAAAATCTCTTGTCTCATATGAACATTTTTTGTGTGCTAACAAAATGTTTAATTATATCTGTATAAGGCTGTTTGATCTAGTTTTAACTATGTGTTCATGTCTGACCTAGTTTTGTCTGTATTCATGTCTGACCTAGTTTTGTCTGTGTTCATGTCTGACCTAGTTTTGTCTGTATTCGTGTCTGACCTAGTTTTGTCTGTGTTCATGTCTGACCTAGTTTGTCTGTGTTCATTTCTGACCTAGGTTGTCTGTGTTAATGTCTGACCTAGTTTTGTCTGACCTCATGTCTGACCTAGTTTTGTCTGTGTTAATGTCTGACCTAGTTTTGTCTGTGTTCATGTCTGACCTAGTTTTGTCCATCTCCAGACCCCAGTGTGGCCTGCTCCATGTTGACCACATTGTGGGCAACCAGCCTGACCTACAGATGAACGACGCAGTCGACTGGTGAGTTTCCTGTTTGCCGATGTGGTCAAGCTAGTTATTTATGGCCAGTGAATTATTTACTATTTAGTTGCTTTACCTTAAAATTTATTTGACATTTATTGTGGGAAGATTTTTCATTCATGATAAATTGTACGAGCTCCAGTTTAATTAACGTCACCCATCTTAAGATCACAGGGTACAAATCAAATGATTACCTTTCTGCCACAGGTATGAAAAAAATCTAATGTTCCACCGCTTCTGGTCTGTGGATGATAAACAGCTGAGCACAGAGTTCTCCGCCCTTAGGTCAATTGTGGTCACTAATTATGAAGAGACAATTAAGATGCCAATTAATGAACCTGCTCCAGGAAAGAGGAAAAGCCAGATCCAGGTCAGAAGACATCTAGTTAAATATTAGCTGAAACTTTAAAAAACAAACCCAGGTCAGAACATTTTCATTTTTTCCAGAATAGATAAAAAAAACATAAAAAACTTGAAATACCCTCCTTCCCCCCCCCCCCCCCCCCCCAAGTGTTACCTCCCTTACTTGGACATCTGTTCACTAAGCTAGGACTAAAATAGATTAGCAGCTTTAAAATACTCTCATAATCTAATGATTAATTAGAGATAGTTGTGATTTTAACTGCCCAGTTTAATAATTAATGAAGATTATTATCTGAAAATAAAATTTCAGGAATATGTGGATTACTACGGTGGGGCAGGTGTTCAACACATTGCCATGAGATCAAACAATATCATTGAAAGTGTAAGTAAATTAGTTAACAATGAGAACAATATCATTGAAAGTGTGAGTAAATTAGTTAACAATGAAATTAAACAATAGTATTGAAAGTATGAGTACATTATTTAACAATGAGAACAATATCATTGAAAGTGTGAGTAAATTAGTTAACAATAAGAACAACATCATTGAAAGTGTGAGTAAATTAGTTAACAATATCATTGAAAGTGTGAGTAAATTAGTTAACAATAAGAACAATATCATTGAAAGTGTGAGTAAATTAGTTAACAATGAAATTAAACAATAGTATTGAAAGTATGAGTACATTATTTAACAATGAGAACAATATCATTGAAAGTGTGAGTAAATTAGTTAACAATGAGAACAATATCATTGAAAGTGTGAGTAAATTAGTTAACAATGAAATTAAACAATAGTATTGAAAGTATGAGTACATTATTTAACAATGAGAACAATATCATTGAAAGTGTGAGTAAATTAGTTAACAATGAGAACAACATCATTGAAAGTGTGAGTAAATTAGTTAACAATTAGAGCAATATCATTGAAAGTGTGAGTAAATTAGTTAACAATAAGAACAACATCATTGAAAGTGTGAGTAAATTAGTTAACAATTAGAGCAATATCATTGAAAGTGTGAGTAAATTAGTTAACAATAAGAACAACATCATTGAAAGTGTGAGTAAATTAGTTAACAATGAAATTAAACAATAGTATTGAAAGTATGAGTACATTATTTAACAATGAGAACAATATCATTGAAAGTGTGAGTAAATTAGTTAACAATTAGAGCAATATCATTGAAAGTGTGAGTAAATTAGTTAACAATTAGAACAATATCATTGAAAGTGTGAGTAAATTAGTTAACAATGAGAACAATATCATTGAAAGTGTGAGTACATTAGTTAACAATGAGAACAATATCATTGAAAGTGTGAGTAAATTAGTTAACAATGAGAACAATATCATTGAAAGTGTGAGTAAATTAGTTAACAATGAGAACAATATCATTGAAAGTGTGAGTAAATTAGTTAACATTGAGAACAATATCATTGAAAGTGTGAGTAAATTAGTTAACAATAAGAACAACATCATTGAAAGTGTGAGTAAATTAGTTAACAATTAGAGCAATATCATTGAAAGTGTGAGTAAATTAGTTAACAATAAGAACAACATCATTGAAAGTGTGAGTAAATTAGTTAACAATAAGAACAACATCATTGAAAGTGTGAGTAAATTAGTTAACAATAAGAACAACATCATTGAAAGTGTGAGTAAATTAGTTAACAATAAGAACAACATCATTGAAAGTGTGAGTAAATTAGTTAACAATGAGAGCAATATCATTGAAAGTCTGAGTAAATTAAATATAAAAACACTTTATTCTTGTCTATTCTGGGCATCTTTTATTCTTTTATCTTTCGCAGATCACTAATTTGAGGGCACGAGGTCAACAGTTTCTTGAAATACCTGCCACTTATTACAAGACATTGCGAGAAAACTTGAAAAATGCTCAGGTAAAAATTTTCACACATGTGTGATTTTACAATTTAACTGAACAGTTTTTCTTACAAATGGTATCTTTTCACAGCTGTTTTTATACATATTTATTCACATCTAATATCTTTTCAATATTTAAACCATACAAAAATCTAAACAGATTGAGATTGTTCCCACACAGTCCCCTCTAGTACATGTTTAACTACATTTCTCCCCCTGTCTGTAGATTAAAGTGACAGAAGACCTTGATGAACTACAGAAGCTCCACATCCTCATTGATTTTGATGAAAATGGCTACCTGCTGCAAATCTTCACCAAGAACATGCAGGATAGGCCAACACTGTTCCTTGAGGTTATACAGAGACACAACCACCAGGTACGTTATACAGAGACACAACCACCAGGTAGGTTATACAGAGACACAACCACCAGGTACGTTATACATAACCACCATATACGTTATATAGAGACATAACCACCAGGTAGGTTATACAGAGACACAACCACCAGGTGTGTTATACATAACCACCATATACGTTATATAGAGACATAACCACCATATACTTTATACAGAGACACAACCACCAGGTAGGTTATACAGAGACACAACCACCAGGTGTGTTATACATAACCACCATATACGTTATATAGAGACATAACCACCATATACTTTATACAGAGACACAACCACCAGGTAGGTTATACAGAGACACAACCACCAGGTACATTATACGTAGACATAACTACTAGGTCCGTTATACTACCAGGTATTATATGATCTGATTTTTAAAAGTTTAGTCAGAATTTTTAGATTATGAAACCTAGCGATGTTAAAGTTTGATTTTATTGATTGTCTTTAAATATGTAGTCCCAGTATCTAAAATCTACATTTTGTAGGGCTTGTCCATTTTATAGGAAACTAATCCATTCCACTGTCAACTTCTGTAACAATTCCTAACCCTATTCCTACTTCTATACACATGTCGCATCTCAGCCTCCAGTATTTTCAATTGGAAATTTTTCAAGAAAGCATACATGACAGACTGTTCATGATACTAAAGTTTATTTTCAGATATTTTAATAAAAATGAGTTGTGTATTTTATTATAATTATTATTGCATCTTCTTCTGTTGAAATTCAAAGTTTTTCTGTTTATTTTTAATCAATTCGAGTGTTTCCATTTATTTTTATATAATTTAAGTTTTTCCAGTTATTTTGATACAATTTAGGTGTTTTCCATTTAGTTTGATACAATTTAAGTGTTTCCATTTATTTTGATATAATTTAAGTTTTTCCATTTATTTTGATACAATTAAAAAATATTTTCCCACATTTCCACAGGGTTTCGGTGCCGGCAATTTTAAATCCCTGTTTGAAGCCATCGAGGCCGACCAGAATGAAAGGGGCAACCTCTAATAGCTGGCTGCGTAGTTCTACAATTCTACCCGTGATCTGAAATATTTAGTTTTTATTGTCTTTATGTGTTTTATATCATTACTCCTGTTACCAATGATTAGATACATGCTTGATGGGATATGTTTATGTAGGCTGCTATCTTTCACAACAAATATATGCAAAGAACTGATTTTTAAAAGTAAAATAATGATTGCTACTTAATTTTAGATTTTTCATATTTATAAATCACAGCTAAATGAAATTAATTAGTTGTTTTAAGACTGAAGCCAATGTTTAAGTCAGTTTCTAGCATGGGGGTCAAGAAAGCTACCTTTTGGCAGGATGTACTAGAGTCCCTACACGCATCTAATCTGGATTGGGTTAACCTAACAATAACATAATCAATTTATTTATCAGTTGATGGAAAATTCAGTGCATTTAACCCTTTGCTCTTGGACATATTCTTAATATCATCTCAGTCCACATTAGTTAGTCATCCATTCATTTGTTATTTAATGTTGATCAGCATCAGGGACCATATCAATATGCCGAGGATTATTTAGTTACCTCTCTTGGTTTTTTAATTGTTTTGTTATATAAAATTCTTCATATTTTTCTAGTTATTCACAATATTATTTTCTAATGTAGCATTAATTAGGTTGCATTAGAATAAGTTTATAATCAGAATAAATTATTTAGAAAAATTTTGACTAGACACTTATGGTGATTGTTGCTAAAGTGCCTTTTGAATTTATTATCTGTCCAAGATGGTGGCATTTCAAATAAATTGTGCATGATTTATTTCAGTCTGTAATATTTTAACTAATTTTTATTTTACGTGCCTCGTATTATAAAAGAGAGGAATTTTGTAATTTCTTGTTATGCCCTTTGGTGGCAGCTGTGTACAGAATATCTTGTTTTCTTTTTATTTAGCCTGTTGTTGTAGCTGCTACAGTCTGATGTTGTAGCTGCTACAGTCTGATGTTGTAGCTGCTACAGTCTGATGTTGTAGCTGCTACAGTCTGATGTTGTAGCTGCTACAGTCTGATGTTGTAGCTGCTACAGTCTGATGTTGTAGCTGCTACAGTCTGATGTTGTAGCTGCTACAGTCTGATGTTGTAGCTGCTACAGTCTGATGTTGTAGCTGCTACAGTCTGATGTTGTAGCTGCTACAGTCTGATGTTGTAGCTTGTACATAAGGGTTGAGGGATTGTACTATCACTTGTATAGAGCAGAGCTTGACGCCTCCATTTGTAGCACTGCCAGATGTGGGGTTTTATTGCTGTAGCTGTTTTTGTTCATTTTTGGCATAATAAAATAACTATTCACAATAGCTAGAAAGCCTATTCATATTCCATTATTACTTTTTTAGTCCCAAATAGCACTCGCATTACTGTTTACTATAATTCAAGCAGAGCTTTTTCTAATTTTGTAGTTGTCTGTAGACATGTTTATCTGGCAAGTTGGGCACAAGTGTTAGTCCTAGTTGTTGAATACTTTTTTACCACTTGTCATTGTGCTCTGTTGATTTATTGCTGATGTCAGATCTAGTACTAAGCTGTCTGTGAAATGTAATATATGTTTTAAATGGTAGTCTTTAATCAGAATAATTTGATAGGATTTAAAGATGTTTACATTCCACTATGTTAACCTTTTTGTTTACTTTACTGCCACTGTTAACCTTTTTGTTTACTGCTCAAAGTTGAGATGTTTGTTGCCAGAATTGCAGGAATAAAATTTGACTTGAGCTGTGATTGTATGCTGGTGTTTAACTTTCTGCACTGTCAAATGTCATGTCAGTTTAGCTACTTTTTATACTGTCTTGTAAGTCTTGTAACAGCCCAGTAACTGCCCATTGGGTTGATGGTCAAGTCTTGTAACAGCCCAGTAACTGGCCATTGGGTTGATGGTCAAGTAAGTCTTGTAATAGCTCAGTAACTGGCCATTGGGTTGATGGTCAAGTAAGTCTTGTAATAGCTCAGTAACTGGCCATTGGGTTGATGGTCAAGTAAGTCTTGTAACAGTTCAGTAACTGCCCATGCTAAAAAATCTTAAAGACAGAAAAATTATTTAATCCCAAAATTGCTGAAGACAAGCTGTTCTAGGTCTAGCAACTAAAGTACAAGACCTTTCAATGTCACAGATAAAAATCACACTCCTGCTTTTGTTCAATTGATTTGAGAGGATTAAATGAGAATTTTGTTCAAAAATGTTACAATGAGAACAATATTGCAGCCAGCTCATTACCTCTGGAGGAACTAAAAATAACTGCCTAAAATATTTAGCAGCGCAAAAACTGTGTTCAGTTAATTTTCTTAAGTAGTCTGGTTTAGTATAGTTTTCACACCATTTTGCCAAATTCTTTATGAAAGCAATGTTCATGTCATGCTGTTTCAGATTATCCAGATTATCATAGCCATATTAATATTCACTGTTATTTATCTGCCACAATTCTCCTCTCTCAACATGTTTAACCCCGTTAGAAAACGAGTGCACATTTAACTGCAATTAAAACTGTTAAAATCATTCAGCACTCAACTATAAAGATTAAAATAAAAAAATGGAAAACTGCCAAATAATTTTTTAGCAAACAAAGGAATATTTATTTTTTTATTGCAGAACAATTTGATGGAGACTTGGAGACAAATTTCATAAAACACTGACAGTACACTACAAAGAACAGCTCACTACAGAGAAATGATTACAGACATAACTGGATGTATTTTATAACAATGGTCAATTGTACTTTAATGTAAAATACAATATACTTAGACATGGAATGAATGACAATTAAGGCAGTGTTAAGCTTTACAAAAACCTGCAGAGAATAAATAAACATCACACATTAAGAAATAGAATTTAAACATGCATTCAGCTATGTGTAAAATAATCACATCTAATTCCTTCTAAAGGGAGATAACTTATTGTTTTAGTGTGCAAAATATGTTTTTTGGAACAAAGTTCAGTCACATCACTGAAACATTTCCGACATGTTCACAAAGTGAGTTATTTATAGGAACAAAATACCTTTAAATGGACACTCTAGGACACACGTGCTTAAGTAAAACAAAAACTGTATAGAAGAAACAAATAATGGAGAGATTTAAAGGACTGAACAAAGAATAAACATAGCGCAACACATGAAATCCTACGAAGATTAAAGTGCAAGGATGAGACAGCTAAAGCAGGTTGGCAGCTGACACAATCAAACAACAGCCAAGGTAAAAACAAAACCTGTCCTCACCTCACAAGTTGGATGCACACACAGGTCAGAGGGAATTAAATAACATGTGAAAGACATACAAATTGCAGGAGTCATTAAAATAGTTAATCCACATTTAACATTCACAGATTATTATTTTTATCTCAGCACAATAAATAATTTCCATGAATAAATCAAGTGCGCCACAGATTCTGTGCCCACTAGAGTAACAAACACTACCAACAGTAGTGTAGCTAATTCAAATTATTTTGTTTCAGGAAGCTTTTAATTGACTATTTACATACAAATAAGAAAAAAACTTGTACAACTTCTAGCTATAATAGATCTCCCAGGCTGGTCAGTAGTTTTAAAAAGTTTAGTCTACCCTGATGTAGATGATCCACAGGCATCAAAATGGACTTAGTTTTTATAACACTAACACTTTCTTAATATTATACAAGAAATTCTTTAAAAAATTACTTAATATTCAAATAATTCAAAACAAGGAATTACATTTTAAAAATTTGTTTTTAGTTAAAAGTCACAAATTTAAACAGACAATTTAAAAAGTGTAGAAACAATTAAAAATGTTTCCTAAAGGGAAATTCCGTCTAATAAAATAGCTTCAGGAGAAATTTCTTGAATGTAAATAATTTTTGTGGTAAAAATTGTTTAAAACAATTCAACAAACAGCACAAGTAAAAATTACAGATAAAAATTACTTTTTTTAAAAATAGTAATAGATATCATACTGTAAATACAATAACATTTTAAAATTCTTTTAAACTTAAAGTAATAAGGAATTTAAAACAATATGAACACAAACTTGCATTAAAATCAAGTGACATTAGTCAGGGATATCACTTAAAACCCATGCTGTTCATAGTCCAAGGTCTCTCCTTTTCCCGTTGGCGCTGCAAGGATTCAAATGCCTTCTTGGGAGGCACTAAGTTATCTGCCACGCCGTAGCGCTTCTTCTTCTTCATGTTAGCCATGTAGTTGTCATCATCCTCTGGCTCAGCCTCCATCGGCCGTCTCCGAGCATCAACGTAAGCTGCTGGATGATATGTGGGTCGCGGGGGCATCTCTGCGTTGACAGCAGCTTGCAAGCTTGCGGCTGCAGCAGTTCTGTTCTCCTCTAAGCTTCTGTTCTCCATGTCATGGAAGAAACGACAGTTCTTACCCAGATGACATTTGCCTTTCTTGAACTTCCAGCAGATGGGCTGGTGGGCCGGCTTTTTAGGAGCCGCCTGAGTCAGTTTGACATGTTTCTCTAAAATCTGATTCTTAGCCTGTTCAGCTTCTTCAAAGGGATTCATGAAAACTGATGTACCAATTCTAGAGGTTGATGCCTCTAAAATACTGGGCAGTTTCTCAGGTACCCAGACGAGAGGGTTGGGGAGTTTGGTGGAAGGTTCAGATTTGACAAAATTCTTGGAGTCAGCTTCGTCATCACTGTCAGTGTCCTGTGTTTCAAAAAAGTTGGTAGACTTGGGCCCATCTTCAGACTCTGGCTTAGACTTGGGCACATCTTCAGACTCTGGCTTAGACTTGGGCCCATCTTCAGACTCTGGCTTAGACTTGGGCACATCTTCAGACTCTGGCTTAGACTTGGGCACATCTTCAGACTCTGGCTTAGACTTGGGCACATCTTCAGACTCTGGCTTAGACTTGGGCACATCTTCAGACTCTGGCTTAGACTTGGGCACATCTCCAGACTCTGGCTTAGACTTGGGCACATCTTCAGACTCTGGCTCTTCCTTGATTCTGAAACAGGAAGAATAGACAATCAATTTTCATTCTTTTATATAATACTGCTAAGTGTTAATAAGTGTTATGAATGTTAGAGCACTTGATTATATCCCAAATATTCCAGTTGAGATAAGGGACGTAGGATTGTAAGACATCTCGTGGTTGAGCTAACTGTTACAAGTACCTGATTCTTGTTGAGGAAAATAAAGAGGGCATGTCATAGTACTTAGCACACAGTGAAAGGCTTCACATGCCAAAATCAGAGAAACAGAGGAAATCTACTGTTTTCTCCCAATCAACTTCTGGTTTGAAAGGGAATTTCACTATTTTTTTATTCTAAATAAATAATAGTGTTATTTTATGAATTATTTTGTAACATTTCTTTTAGATGACGCTAACTGTTGCAACATTTTATGAATTAAATCGTGCTATTGCTTTTAGATGGAGCTAATCTTGTATTATTAACATTTTGTTTGTGTAGTTCTGTGATTCAGTGCATAATTTTTTTAAAATCCCATAAAATAATATAATTTATAGCAATGAAAAAAAAAAAGAATAGAGGAGAATACTAGAAATAATTATTTTATTATGGTTTACTATAGGTGATCGTGACTAGGCAAAACAAGAAAGTTTTCAGCCTCCTCACGACTACCCCCAAAAATGTATTTAGTAAAGAAAATATATATATTTTATAAACATATGTTCTTAGGCTTATCCCATTCAATTTCAATTCATTTTTTCTGAAAAAAACTAAAGATTGTTTTATAAAGACCCTATGTCAGGACGAGGCTTTGCTTATCCCAGTAACATAAAAATGGCCGCCAAACGACGGGTTGCTTTCAATTTCTCATATCCCAATGTGTGTAGAATACTGTATCAAAATTTGATATGAATGTACTTGTGAATGAATATATTTACTACCAATTTTATGTTTATGTATAAAACATTCAAATAAAAGCGCACTTACTATTCAAAACGAGAGTAATGGAGGTGTTCACAACGAAGCACGTAGTCTGGACAGGCAGAGTTACTCTAGATTCTAGACCTTTCTAGCCAAGATCTAGATAATAGATACTAGATAGTCTAGATCTATATGTCTATTTAACTCTTTAAGACCATAATGACACTCCCAGCAGGTCGGCCTGCCATACCGTAACGATGCTCTCAGCGTCCGATAACATTTTCTCTATTTAATTCATTGTTTTTTCAGGATTCAAGTTTTTAATCGTCAATCTAGGTCATGATAAAGCTAGAGCGGCCTTTTTTTGTTGTATTTATTTCTTGCAGTTTTCTTGTTAGGTCGATTTTTATTTTCTAACATTTTTTTGTAAAACAACTTGCAAAACAGCATTTTTTTAACACTGCGGAATGCCATTCAGCGGCCGCGTCTAAACATTTACGTCGCCGCATTATAAAATTAACCAAAATTAGAGTATTTATACTAAGACTAATCCGATCCATGATTTTTGTAGAAAAATGGACGTACTTTCATTTTCTATCAATAAGAACCCATGAAAAGTAATTCTTATCATTAATTTTCCCAAAAGATGCGTATTTTTGGCCCGAAAAAAAAATCAACCCTTTATTTTTTCTTCTTTAAAACTAAGTAATTATCTTTCTTCAAAAAATAAATAATTACTTGAATTCAGTGTGCAGGGTATTCATACAATTAATTTTTATCAATAATGTGTGGGGTTTAAATTAACGGGTAAAAAGATATGGATTCTGGTAGGCCTACGTGAAATTAATTATGGGCATTAAGAGTTAATAAAAGTCTTTCAATGCAGCTACCGCACATCTACAACCTGAAACTTTAGTTTTACTTAAAATTTACTAGTTTAGGCTACTTTATTTATTTAAAATTTAATACTAATAATACTAGTACTAGATCTTCTAGATCTAGATTACTCGGACTAGTTAGCCAAACACACTACTACTAGATCTATTACTACACAGTTGAGTAGTAGATCTAGTAGTAGTGTAGTAAAGTGTAAAAATAGACTAGTCTGAAGGTAGATCTAGATTATTCTCGATCTAGACTAGCTAAACTAGTCTAGCTACTAAGATAGTAGTACAGTAAGTACCAGGGTAAAACTCCATTTTAGTGTATTTTATTCCCTGCTTCATGTATAATAAAAATACAAAATATGCTCAACCGGAGGTGTACGTGAAGCGGCGAATAAAATACGCTAGTAAAATGGAGTTCACCTGTTAAAGTGTTACAAACAATACCATCTACTACTGATCTACAGCTAGATCTAGTACTATCTACTAGATATGTCTCTCACTAGCTTGAGTGTTAACTAAGAAGTTTAAAATGTAAATGAATTATGTATAACCTGATATCTGATTCCTTGTCTTTGTTTTCACTACTTTCATTTTCACTTTCACTATCCGAGTAGTCAGCTACCAAGGACGCCATTTTGTCACACAATAAATCGGATACTAAGACCGCAGTTAATTTTCTAGTTGTCGAGATTCAAAATAATCTATTTTTAGGTCAACGCATGATTCCGGTCGCACAGTACGAAGTTACACGCAGACAACTTTCTACTTTCATTCTCCATTGACCTGCCCAGTGAGTTTGATTTGTAAAGTTAACCGAGACTTTGACTGTAAGCAATTTCTTTTGGTTACTAGACTAGTAGATCTACTTCAAAGATTACACGAATAGTGTTCATAAATTTTCCTATTTATTTTGGCCGCCCTTAATGCAGTTTAATATTAAATTATTTAATATTTATTATTGTAGGCCTACTAATGTCAATGATTGTAAATGTAGGCCTACTACATTAATTTAAATGTAACATTTAATGTAGGCCTAATGAAATTAATATTTTGCCCTGGAGTAGCTGGAGAGATGCCTGAAAGAATGAAAGAAGCACTGTCTATTATCCTTAACTACTAGATCTAGGCCCTAATGATTCAAGTCAAATTATTGAGTCGAGTTGTATTTCATTAGATGTTGATACTGATACATAATATATTATAGATATAGAGTAACTGTCTTGTTACTATAGTCATATAGTCTCAGAAGAAAAGCTGACACAATATTTTAAGAAGATTTTATCAATGCATACCCAATCATGTATCTTTTACACTTGACCTTTGTGTAAAACTGAGCTATTTAAATGTAAACAAAGCAGGCACTATATATTTCGTGGATCATAGTAATTGGGCGGGCATGTTTGTCCATGCTATTGCCCAGATGCCCAGATGTGCTGTATCAAAGCCTTGATTGTACATTAATCATCGTCCATCATTGTGACTAGTGAGGTAGAACACACCTCAGAAACTGAGGTAGAACACACCTCAGAAACTGAGGTAGAACACACCAGAGCAACTGCGCAGATGTCAATGGCATTGTGGGGTGCTCATATATTACCTTATGGGCATTGGGTATGGATCCTGGTTTGGCTTAATCATCATATGGCAAGTTCCAGAGTGTCCCTGTTGTAAGGTGCTTTTTAACCCCTTTACCGTGTGTCACGAGTTAACTCAGCATATGAAATCTGGGCTTAACCGTGCATCGCGACTTAACTCGGCAAATTTTTCTGTGTGCTGTGCGTCTCTAGTTAACTTTTGTTGATGGAAAAAAATTGGAAATCAACAACTTACAATCACTAACAATTTTATTTTGTCAGGGCAACATAACAACTGAAATTATGAAAGAAAAAAAATTACACATTTTCCATAAGAAAATTATTTTTTTGATTACACAGTAAAGGGGTTGAATGAATGTAGGCGCAATAGGTCTCACAGGGATCTCAGGGTGCCAAATTTCACCCTGTCCCTGTATAGGTGCTCTAGGACATGCCTGGTTTGATTTAGTGAAGAATTATTGTAGCCCATTGTATTTTTAATATATTACACTCTTTAAAACAAACGTAAGTGTCATAGTGGTGCCGGGGCGCTAAATCGCACCCTGTCATGTTGCTGCCCCTCCGAAATTTATTTTTGCAGAGACCTTCCCAGGAGTATTCTCATTAACTTCCCAAAGTTTCATGGTGATTGGATAGAAGGTGTAGTAATGCATAAAGCGCACACACACACACACTCAATACAAACACACACTCAGTTACTTTAATTTATATATAGATTGATCTCCAAAATTTATTTGTCAAACTTGACTTAGGTATGGCTTTATTAATAAATTTATAACAAACTAGACCATAACCAATCCTCTTCTATGAACCGATGGCACATAAAGCATTATAAACCTCTCCCCAATAGCCCCTGATGCAACCACCTGCGAATCCACTCCCAGGTGGTCAGTTATTTGTTGTAGACCTTGACAAATTTGTTAGAGTCAACATTCAACCAGAGCTGTACACTAGCTTAGATTCTTTCACTATAGCCATATTTAACCCCAAGCCTAACCCTTATGGTCCATTGGAAGTGCTGTGAATGCCTGCCATGATAACTCATATCAGCTACATGATAATTTCAAGTGGTAATAATTCTCATTTTCTAGATGAAATTTACAAGTCCTAGTAGGAAGAACATAATAATTTTGTGTAACATTCATGTAGTAGGAACAACATATTAATTTTGTGTAACATTCATGTTGTCGGAAGAACATAATAACTGAGTATAACATGTAATGGATGAACTGACTTTTCTGTGTTTAAGTTAGTATTGGTTAAATGGTTTTTGTGTCTTAATAAGCTTGGCTTGCATTAATGATGTAATAATTGTAGTTGAAAGAAATTAAACAATTCATGTTTACTACAGTATACAGGAGGCCGTCTTCCTCATTTCTTTATAAGTATGGATTTCTTTAGTTAATTATCTTAATTGCAGTCTATAATTATTATTTTACTTTAATTACTGGTTTTCATGGTGAATAATGTTTTTTTAATTTTGTGACTGTTCTTCTTCTCCAGGAGGCTGAAAAGTTTGTGTGATGTCGGGTAAAGTCAAATCCCGGGCCTCTGTGAATGCAGCTGACTCGAATACGCTGTCCTTGAACGAGAAAATTTTAAAGGAATGTCACTCTCTATACATCGACCCAGAAAATGGTAAATTATTTAGTTTTAGATTGACATTAGTGTTAATGTTTCTTGCACTATTGTTGGGGAGATTAGACAGGCTTAGAAGATGTTAGCACATTGATAGGTTAAAGGGTTGACATCTCATGTGTAGTTCTGGCATAATGTTGGGATAGACATTTAATTCTTGAAAAAATTTGTTAGGGAGGCTAGAATTAAAATGTATACAATTTTCATAGTCTGATATTGGCATAGTGATGCGGATTAAGAAATATTTGTTAATTGTTATTTACAGTGTAAAATTGATTAATATTTCATAGTATTTTTTATCCACTTGCTCAGTGATTAGTTTTGAAAGATATATGTTGGACTCGTGATTTGAATTGAATGACAGATAATTAATTGTTGCTTAAGTAGAACTTGTTTTCCTTTTATACAACTTACAAGTCCCACTAAAGTAACTATATTCCAGCCTTCCTACAGTAAGTAACTGCCCCCAAAATGAAGCACCAACTACAAACCATGTAACTACAGCTATTTAACAAATGTTACAAAAGTTTAAGAAGAAACATCCATTACAAAATTCATATACAAGTCCAAGGTTACATTTTATATCCACTGGACTCTAAATAAAATCCTGCTGTTGTCTTTAGAATAGCCGTCATTTTTTAAACTAAATAGTGACCAGAATGTACAGATTTTTTGACATGTCTGAGCACATGGAAACTTTGTCCTGTTGACTGAGGTTTGACCTTGCTGTCCCCAGGGCTAGTGAAAATTGCTGAGGGCTTGGGTCTGAGTTTGCTGGCACCAAGGAAAAAGATTACAGTGCTTCTAATTGGCAACCACTCCGCAGGCAAAAGTTCTTTCATCAACTGGTGAGTACACTAGACTAGATAGCTCTCTCTCTCTCTCAACTTCTGTCTTACAGTTATAACATCTGTACACAGTGGTCAGTGGTGTACACAGTGGTCAGTGGTGTACACAGTGGTCAGTGGTGTACGCAGAACTTTATCATGTGGGGAGGGGGGAGGTTTCTAAACACCCACCTGTCTACATATCTGACTCTGGGGTTATAAAAGGTGTAATAGCTGTTATATAATATTGCTTCATCTTTCTTGCGCTGTAATAATCTAGAGCCCCACCCCCAAGACAGCTGTAATAATCTAGAGCCCCACCCCCAAGACAGCTGTAATAATCTAGAGCCCCACCCCCAACAAGACAGCTGTAATATTCTAGAGCCCCACCCCCAACAAGACAGCTGTAATATTCTAGAGCCCCACCCCCAACAAGACAGCTGTAATATTCTAGAGCCCCACCCCCAACAAGACAGCTGTAATATTCTAGAGCCCCACCCCCAACAAGACAGCTGTAATATTCTAGAGCCCCACCCCCAACAAGACAGCTGTAATATTCTAGAGCCCCACCCCCAACAAGACAGCTGTAATATTCTAGAGCCCCACCCCCAACAAGACAGCTGTAATATTCTAGAGCCCCACCCCCAACAAGACAGCTGTAATATTCTAGAGCCCCACCCCCAACAAGACAGCTGTAATATTCTAGAGCCCCACCCCAACAAGACAGCTGTAATATTCTAGAGCCCCACCCCCAACAAGACAGCTGTAATATTCTAGAGCCCCACCCCCAACAAGACAGCTGTAATATTCTAGAGCCCCACCCCCAACAAGACAGCTGTAATATTCTAGAGCCCCACCCCCAACAAGACAGCTGTAATATTCTAGAGCCCCACCCCCAACAAGACAGCTGTAATATTCTAGAGCCCCACCCCCAACAAGACAGCTGTAATATTCTAGAGCCCCACCCCCAACAAGACAGCTGTAATAATCTAGAGCCCCACCCCCAACAAGACAGCTGTAATATTCTAGAGCCCCACCCCCAACAAGACAGCTGTAATAATCTAGAGCCCCACCCCCAACAAGACAGCTGTAATAATCTAGAGCCCCACCCCCAACAAGACAGCTGTAATAATCTAGAGCCCCACCCCCAACAAGACAGCTGTAATATTCTAGAGCCCCACCCCCAACAAGACAGCTGTAATAATCTAGAGCCCCACCCCCAACAAGACAGCTGTAATAATCTAGAGCCCCACCCCCAACAAGACAGCTGTAATATTCTAGAGCCCCACCCCCAAGACAGCTGTAATATTCTAGAGCCCCACCCCCAACAAGACAGCTGTAATATTCTAGAGCCCCACCCCCAACAAGACAGCTGTAATATTCTAGAGCCCCACCCCCAACAAGACAGCTGTAATAATCTAGAGCCCCACCCCCAACAATACCTAAATACCCACACAACAAACCAGAGCACCATCCAGTACTTTCTTGCCTATTGTGTTCATCAAATTAGTAGTGCCTTTATATTGCTTTATAACTTTAAAGTCTTATACACAAACTAAGTTAGTATTATTAAATGTTTATTAGTCCCCCTCTCCTGTACTACAAGCATAAGTCTAACAGTCAAGATCAATTTCCATTGCATTATTTGATACTAGACTTTATTTAAGTCATTAGAAAAGAGGTAACAATATCTGTCTATATTGATGTGGTTGTGGTGGATTTTTACTTTAGTTAGTTTTGTTTTTGTTCTTATAAACCTCTGGTATAACAATGTTGTAACATTTCGTTCTTTTAAATCCCTTGTATATCAATGTTGTAACATCAGGAGTTGGCATAGTATTATCAAATGATAGGAGAATTTAAATAAAACTCCTGCCAGTTTCAACCAGTAGTTTTTTAAAAATTTAAACGACTGTATGAATAGGACGGCACAGGGTCAGTAATGTATTAGAGCAAAGAGTTTTTGCTGCCTGGCTACTGCTGGTGTTAGCTTTGTCTGATATGGCCCGTAGTTACAGGACAGACAGGACGCCATCATTGTGTACCTAACTACCTTGGTTACTTCTAAGGGAAGTCACTCCTATTTGCTCTTGCAATTTTCGCAGTTGTTTCCCTTAGAGTAATTTTCATAGAAATTCGTCAATAAAATTTAAACACACACCCACAAAAATACATTTCGTCTAGGCGATCACGTGATATCACAGTTAATCAATTAAACATTCCTGTTTTAAAGTCATCTTTACTCAACTAAAACTTTATTTTATTTCTGGAAAAGTTGTTTTGTATCGAGTATGTCCTGTTTGCCGTTGGAGCGACTGGAGTCAACGTGGACTTGAAATAATCGAATACATTATCTCTGCAGTAGTATTGCACTGGCGTTCTATAATCGAAAACATTGTCTCAACTATATTATTGTAGACTAAAAGGTTTGCGATACTGAAATACTTTGTGTTTACCGATTTACCAATATGGCTGCTTTCGATTATGCTAATCGAATACATTGTTTTCATAGTAATGTTGAATGCTTGTTATAATCGATTACTTTGTGTGTACAGATTTGACATATGTAGGCTTGTGAATATTTGCCTAGGTGTTTGTTTGCACAGGATGTATTCACGTGTGTGTCTGTGTTGGAAGGAATTAATGGCATTTATTGTAAGAAACATTGGAGAGATATATGAATGGTCACACGGTATATCAAGGGCACATTGACAGACTTAGTTGGGATATGGTAATGGTCATTGACAGACCTAGTTGGGATATGGTAATTGAAAGGTCACCCAGGGATAGATATTTGAACGGTCAGCCAGGGATAGATATTTGAAAGGTCACCCAGGGATAGATATTTGAAAGGTCACCCAGGGATAGATATTTGAAAGGTCACCCAGGGATAGATATTTGAAAGGTCACCCAGGGATAGATATTTGAAAGGTCACCCAGGGATAGATATTTGAAAGGTCAGCCAGGGATAGATATTTGAAAGGTCACCCAGGGATAGATATTTGAAAGGTCAGCCAGGGATAGATATTAGAAAGGTCAGCCAGGGATAGATATTTGAAAGGTCACCCAGGATAGACGGATTGTCCCCGCTGTAATGCGGCTAATGTTGAGGACGCCGCGAGACATTCCAGAGTTCCACAGGCCGGCGTGCAGCACACGCGTGCAGCATACAGCAGACGGGAAGTCAGACAGACCTTCTAACCTGACTGAGTGAGCGGGGGATGGCGAAACGTTGGCTCACCAGAAATATGGTGTACATTTCTAGGGGAAACAAAAATGGTGTGGGGGAAACAAAAATGGTGTAGGGGAACAACCGGCACCAGTAGAACCATCTTAAACACCAGCTCCAGACTGACAAGTCATCTCCAGACTGATAAGTCAGGTCCAGACTGACAAGTCAGGTCCAGACTGACAAGTTAGGTCCAGACTGATAAGATATGGGATGGTAGGACGGACAGACATGGGATGGTAGGACAGAGAGACATAGGATGGTAGAACAGACAGACATAGGATGGTAGAACAGACAGACATAGGATGGTAGGACAGACAGACATAGGATGGTAGGACAGACAGACATGGGATGGTAGGACGGACAGACATGGGATGGTAGGACAGACAGACATAGGATGGTAGAACAGACAGACATAGGATGGTAGAACAGACAGACATAGGATGGTAGAACAGACAGACATAGGATGGTAGGACAGACAGACATGGGATGGTAGGGCAGACAGACATAGGATGGTAGAACAGACATAGGATGGTAGAACAGACAGACATAGGATGGTAGAACAGACAGACATAGGATGGTAGAACAGACATAGGATGGTAGAACAGACAGACATAAGATGGTAGAACAGACATTGGATGGTAGAACAGACATTGTATGGTAGAACAGACAGACATAGGATGGTAGAACAGACATAGGGTGGTAGAACAGACAGACATAGGATGGTAGAACAGACATAGGATGGTAGAACAGACAGACATAGGATGGTAGAACAGACAGACATAGGATGGTAGAACAGACAGACATAAGATGGTAGAACAGACATTGGATGGTAGAACAGACAGACATAGGATGGTAGAACAGACATAGGGTGGTAGAACAGACAGACATAGGATGGTAGAACAGACATAGGATGGTAGGACAGACAGACATGGGATGGTAGGACAGACAGACATAGGATGGTAGGACAGACAGACATGGGATGGTAGGACAGACAGACATGGGATGGTAGGGCAGACAGACATAGGATGGTAGAACAGACATACATAGGATGGTAGAACAGACATTGGATGGTAGAACAGACAGACATAGGATGGTATGACAGACAGACATAGGATGGTAGGACAGACAGACATAGGATGGTAGAACAGACAGACATATGATGGTAGAACAGACAGACATAGGATGGTAGAAAAGACAGACATAGGATGGTAGGACAGACAGACATAGGATGGTAGAAAAGACAGACATAGGATGGTAGAACAGACAGACATAGGATGGTAGAACAGACAGACATAGGATGGTAGAACAGACATAGGATGGTAGAACAGACATAAGATGGTAGAACAGACATCGGATGGTAGAACAGACATTGTATGGTAGAACAGACAGACATAGTATGGTAGAACAGACATAGGGTGGTAGAACAGACAGACATAGGATGGTAGAACAGACATTGGATGGTAGAACAGACATAGGATGGTAGGACAGACAGACATGGGATGGTAGGACAGACATGGGATGGTAGGACAGACAGACATGGGATGGTAGGACAGACAGACATGGGATGGTAGGACAGACAGACATGGAGACATGGGATGGTAGGACAGACAGACATGGGATGGTAGGACAGACAGACATGGGATGGTATGACAGACAGACATGGGATGGTAGGACAGACATGGGATGGTAGAACAGACAGACATAGGATGGTAGGACAGACAGGCCTGGGATGGTAGGACAGACAGACATGGGATGGTAGAACAGACAGACATAGGATGGTAGAACAGAC